CCCTGGCCGTGGCAGGCCTGGGGCACCGGCACTCGGATGAGGCTCCCTGGCCGTGGCAGGCCTGGGGCACCGGCACTCGGATGAGGCTCCCTGGCTGGGCAGGCCTGGGGCACGGGCACTCGGATGAGGCTCCCAGGCCGTGGCAGGCCTGGGGCACCGGCACTCGGATGAGGCTCCCTGGCTGGGCAGGGAGGGGCACCAGCACTCGGATGAGGCTCCCTGGCCATGGTAGGCCTGGGGCACCGGCACTCGGATGAGGCTCCCTGGCCGTGGTAGGCCTGGGGCACCGGCACTCGGATGAGGCTCCCTGGCCGTGGTAGGCCTGGGGCACCAGCACTCGGATGAGGCTCCCTGGCCGTGGTGGGGAGGGGCACCAGCACCCAGCAGCATGGCCCTCTGGCATCGATGCTGCTTCCCAGACAGCAAGGCTAGTCGCTGTTCATGCCGTTAGTCCTGAGCAGGGCTCTGCAGAAGACATTGTCTCCTCTTCTTTTTAACAATACTTTATCTTGGTAGAGAGCTACCTTGTTAGAGAATGCATTATCCATGTTTCCTGTACAGCTCCAAGGCCATGTTCTAGCCAGTGTTGGAGAGCCTTGGGAGCTTCCTTCTCCTGCTCCCCACAGACGTGGAACAGGCTCTCCGCCTGTCTGGACCACACGGACGCGATCATCCCTCTGGAGATGGCAGAGGCAGCAGGGCAAAGGGCCCGGGGCCTGGGGCGGCAGGATTCCTTACACCGCCCCCCTCAGCCTGTCGCACTGACATGACGGGAATTTTATCTACCTTCCAGGGGTCAGTTTAATCCTATGTGCTAAGTGGTAGAGATCCTAAGAAAGTTTGACAACCACTTACCTTGGCAAAGAATTTGATCTCCTGGTCATGGGGAGACTTTTCAGTTTTCCCACTGCTCACGATGGCTTCTACAAAGGCAAAGTGTAAAGCTGGCCTTAGTGAAGAAACAAACCTGCGAACTACAGTCCGTGGGAGCCACGCAGCTTCTCCCGGGCCAGAGAAGCCACTTTGCCAGCGTACTTCTTAGCCATTTCTGTGTCCGTTCCCCACACGGTGCACCACCCTGCTCTTGCTCCATGCTGTCAGTGAGGAAGCAGCTTCAGAGCCACCCACAGCCACAGATAAAACAATGGGAAAGTTATTAGAATGAGTTCCATGGAAAGTGACACAGGGCCAACCACGTCCAACAGAAAAGCCAAGGACCATGCTGGGTTTCTGTGTATGACAGTGCTGGAGTTTGAACTCAGGCCCCCTGAACTTGCTGGGCAAATACTCGGCCCCTGACCATGCCTTCAACCCTTTTTGCGCCGGTTCTTTGGAGATAGGGTCTTACTTTCTGTCTAGGCCCGTGCTTGACCATGGTCCACGGGTTTTATAGGAGGGATGACAGGTGTGAGTTACCACACTCGGCTTCTTCTGTGAGATGGAGCCTTGTGGATCTTTCTGAGCTGAACTGGAACTGTGATCCGTGGATATCCAACTCCCAAGGAGCCACAGTGACAAGCATGAGCTGGGACCTGATTGAACTGATTTTTTTCTTTTTTTTGTCAGTTGTGGGTTTGAACTCTGGGCCTGGGTGCTGTCCCGCAGCTCAAGGTGAGCGCTGTACCACTTGAGCCACAGCACCACTTCCAGATTTCTAGTAGTTTACTGGAGATAAGAGTCTCTCGGACTTTCCTGCACAGGCTGGCTTTGAACCATGATCCTCAGATCTCAGCCTCCTGAGAAGCTAGGATGACAGGCGTGAGCCACCAATGCCCGGCTCAGACTGGTATTTTTAATGGGGAAAAATATCTCAGCCATGGTTTCCCCTGATGTGTCTGAAGAATTGTGATCAGCTGTCATGCGAAAGGATCATTCTTTGGTAAGGGGACAGCGGATTCTTTTGTGATACTTCACGGTAACACTTACCCAAGTGGGCGATGAACTCCTGAGCAGAGTCAACATACTTCAGAATTTTCTTCAGAAACTTGTAGGCAAATCTCTTTTCCATGGAGGAGGCATCCAGCTCCGTGTCCTTCGCCCCCCTGGGTTGGACGTGGGTGAGCCCAAGGAAGGAAGAGACAACCACGTGACCGGAGCACCCAACCATTCTAGAGAATGGGCCGTCTGTCGTGGAGGAGGGGGTGGGGGAAGGCCGAGGGCTGGGATGGGCGCGGGGAAGCCGGGCCGGGCCCCCCTCCAGCGCCCGTGGGCTACGGGGCCTCTCAGGAGGCCCCAGCGGCTCAGGATAAGTCTTCTGAGCTCAGTGACCCTTCTCCCTAGGTTCCCAGTTTCCTTAGCTTCATCTTTAGACTCAGGCCCACGTTTCGTGTTTGTGAGCAGGGAATTCATCAGCAAGTCACCTGCACAGTCATCTCAGGGTTAAAAACAGGAGGAGGGCACTGCTCCTGCCCAGTCGCCAGCTCCTTCTGGAAGACCTTTCTGGCTGCACAACAGCCACACAAGTTTCAAACTCTTTCCTATGTCACAGGATAGAAATCGTGGTGTTTGTTTTGGGCACTCCCTGGCAAGTATCTTGTAGATGAAAGGGAGAAGCAGCAGGTTGTCCAGCTTGTGCCCCACAGCACACCAAACAGGCCCCACCTCCCGATCCACGCAGCCAGGCCTCTCCTCAGAGAGACGCTCATCTAGACCGCTTTCACCGAGCACCCTGCCAGATGGAGGTTTGGGGGAGCTACGATGTGTTGGTCTCCCCAGTGGAGTCTGGTCTCCGTAAGGACCAATTCCCTTTGTCTAGAGATGGTTTCTGTGTGTGGTGCACGCGCTCTTGTTACTAAGTAGCTGGATACAACACCATACAGAACAACCCTAAGAACTAACTTGCAGATTCTGCAAAGACCTCCAGTTGTAAATTTTCAAGCACACATTGTTAGAATTAGGGATGAGTGCAAAGGAAAAGGTAGGAGAGCCTCAAATTCTCCCCGCTCCTAAGGAAGGCTTTGAGGGTGCGTTCTGAATATGATTTATCACTACCGTTGCTAGAACAGGGTGCAAAGCAAAAGCCCTGCCTGTAGCATCGCGTTTATGATACATGCGTTCACTGTAGACCTTCCAAAGGGCCAGACTCTGCCCTCTGTCTGATGGGGCTTGAAGGCAGGGGGGAGGTCTTCAGAGGAGGAGAGCCCCACTTCCCCCGCCCCAGCCCACTCACCCAGGAAGGCAGAGGACTTACCTGGAAACTATAATGCCATTCACTTGGAGGAACTTGAACAGGTCCTGCGCCTTCTCTCGGTCCCTGAACTTTTCCTTGGCTGTCAAGGTGTCATACGGTACCAAAAGGGGGTGGCTGCCCCCACCTGAGTCGGCAAAGCAAGCGGTGTCACCTGTGCACGTCTGGGGACAGAGGCCCCTCGCCCCTTCCCCGCGGGCGCCGGAAGCCCAGCCCACCTTTGCTCTCCAGCTCTGACTTCTTCTTCTTGGCCCAGATATTGTGATAGTTCTCGGCCACCACCTCCACCATTCCCTGTGTCCCACCAGGGAGAGACAGTCAAAGAGAAGCCAGCAGGAAAAACAGCCTCCTGTCTGCCATGGTTTTCTGCACAGGGGCAGAGTTCCACACGAGCCTCCGGCCTGCACGGAGCCCGCCCGCCACTCACCCGCCGTGCGTACGAATTCACGAGCTGTGTGTCATCCTGTGTGCGCAGAACACGGGGGCTCCCGGCCTCCTTCCCAAGTGGCCTATTGCCCTGCTGCCCGGCGCGGCCCGAGCAGCCACCTGCAGCCCCTCATCTACCGCAGTGCTCAGGACCCCATCTGACCCACGGTGCCAGGAGCAAGAGGCCAAGTAAATGTCCCAAGCCCCCCGGAAGTGTCAGACTAAGAACAGTTACCACCGCGTGGTGAGGGCACCTGTAAATAAGATTTCTCCCTGGATATGATCTTTACAAGGTTTACACAGAAGTGACTAGAACGAAGGGTGTGTTTTGGAAAGAAACTTTCTCCAAGGTCATCTGGAGATGACTTTCTGTTTTTCTCCTCTGGCCCCATGGACTTAAGAGGGGCAAGAGATGCAGGCTCCAGAAGGCCGCAGACACCAGTGTGTGTGTGTGTGTGCGTGTGCGTGCATGCGTGTGTGTGCATGTGTGTGTGCGTGTGTGTGCGTGCGTGTGTGTGTGTGTGCGTGCATGCGTGTGTGCATGTGTGTGTATGTGTGTGTGTGCGTGTGTGTGCGCGCGCGTGTGTGTGCATGTGTGTATGTGTGTGCGTGTGCATACATGTGTATGTGCACGCATGAGGGTATGTGTGTGTATGTGTGCGTGTGTGTGCATGTGTGTGTATGTGTGTGTGTGTGCGCGTGTGTGTGCATGTGTATGTGTGTGCGCGTGCATACATGTGTATGTGCGCGCATGTGGGTATGTGTGTGTGTGTGTGCGCGCGTGTGCGTGTGCATGTGTGTATGTGTGTGCGTGTGTGTGTGCGTGCATACATGTGTATGTGCGCGCATGTGGGTATGTGTGTATGTGTGTGTGCGCGTGTGGGTGTGTGTGTGCACATGCACACATGTGTGTATGTATGTGTGCGTGTGCGTGCACATGTGTGTGCGTGCATGTGGCACGTGTGTGTAGGAGGAGAGGAAAAGGCTTCTGGTTTTATTTCCCTGGCTCACATTTCTGGGTCAAACAATGAACACTTCCACAGTGATTGCGGGAAACGGCAGGCGTTCCCCCGCATCCACCACGGTCCCCACAGCCCGGGAGACTGACCAGGCCAGGAACTCCGTCTACCCAGGGCCAGCTTCCCAGAGCTCCTCCGCGGCTCACGCTGGGCTCACGCGGGGGCTGGGGCTGGGGCTCTCCTCCTCTTCCTGCCTCGCCGCCCACCGCGGCGTCCTGGGCCTCCCTGCCTGGCGGCCAGCCCGTCTGCCTGACCCCAGGACAGCTGCACGGCACGGCCTGCCCCTGGCTCGGCCTTAGCGTGACAGGCTCAACACGCTTCCCTCCCCCCCTTCCCCATCAACTCCTGGGAGAGAAACATGCCAGGCGCTGAGAGAGGTCACAAAGCAAGCGAGGCACCGACCTGCAGCTCCCTGGAGAGCACCACGTTGGAGAGATCCAGAGGCGCAGGGCTGTAGCTGCTACCCTAGGAGAGCAGAGGTGCAGTGAGCAGGGGTGACCCCCTCGGCGGCCCCCATTCCACCCCCAGCCTCCCCTCCCCCACCCCATCCCCAGTGTCCCCCCAGCCTCCCCTCCCCCAGGGTTCCCCCCTGACCCCACCACCACCTTTTCGCCGAGCACCAGTGTGTCCTCCTGGCTAACGGCGCGCTTTTGCGTGTGGCTGTCCTACCTGGCTGGTCTGCAGAGCGCTTCGGAGTTTCTCATTTTCCCGTTGTTGAACCGAAGCCTCCCCCTCTCTGGTCCTCTCCACAGCCCAGCCCACCGCCAGCATGGTCTTTAGGGACTCTCTGGCAGGCCGGCGGTAAATCTCCTTCTCCTGGAAGAAAATCTGCAGTGAAGAGCTCTGGAGAGCATGTACATCCAGCATTTGGGGTTTCTTTGCCAGTCCTGGGGCTTGACCTGAGCTTCTTTTGCTCAAGGCTAGCGCTCTACTGGAGCACAGTATCACGCCTGGCCCTTTCTGTGTCTGTGGTGCTGAGGAATCGAACCCAGGGCTTCATGCGTGCTAGGCAGCGCTCTGCCACTGAGCCGCCTCCCCAGCCCACATGCAGCATTCTTCCTGGTCCCTCTCCCTGAAGCTGGGCCCCACAGTAAGCAGAGGTTCCAGCTCGCTTGCGCCTCTTCCAGGGGGTCAAACTGCGACCTGCAGCATTCCACTCGCAAATATCGTCAGCATTCCTGACGTCTGTCATCCTAAGCCCCTCGGCCTCTGATCCTGTCCCCCAGAGGGGCACACCAGCATCGCCAGAGACATCACACACTTGGAAAATGGAGATGAGCGAGAACAGAAATGACTCCTGTGTCAGCAGGTGTTTCTGTAGTGGAGACACTATCAAAAATGCATGTGAGCCAGGCGCCGGTGGCTCACGCCTGTCATCCTAGCTACTCAGGAGGCTGAGATCCGAGGATCACGGTTCAAAGCCAGCCCCGGGCATGAAAGTCTATGAGACTTTTATCTCCAATAAAAACCAGAAGTGGCGCTGTGGCTCAAGCAGTAGAGCACTAGCCTTGAACTGAAGAGAACAGGGACAGCACCCAAGCCCAGAGTTCAAGGCCACAACCAACACACACACACACACACACACACACACACACACACACACACACACATCTGCAAAGCTCTTCCTTGGACTCAGAAAGAAGTTCTTAGAACTAACTTCCTTCCTTCCTTCCTTCCTCCCTCTCTCCCTCCCTCCCTCCCTCCCTCCTTCCCTTCCTCCTTCCCTTCCTATATTTTTGTTGTTGTGGTTGTTGCAAGTACAGGGGCTTGAACTCAGAGGCCTCATGCTTTTGGCTTGCTTGTTCTAAGCAAGCTCTCCGCCACTTGAAGCATGCCTCCAACCTGGCTGTTGGTTAATTGGAGATCGATTCTTGCACACATTTATTTTTAATTGTGAAAATACTGTACAGAGGGGGTTATAATTACATGGGCAGGATAATGAGGACATTTCTTATCAAGCATTGTTGCCTCCTCCTTTGTTTCCCCTTCCCATCCCTCCCCCCCACCCCCCCACCCTGCCAAAGTTATAAAGTTCATTTTTCGACACAAGGTCTTGTACATCTCGTTGTTGCAATGGG